AGACATGTCCACTAACTTCGTCCCTTCCCCCGCGAAGGGCAAACGATACACTGTGGAGCATCTTGGAGTCACAAGGATTCAAACTGTGGATAATATCTACTGTACTGGGCTCAGTAAAACTGTGATCCACTACAGATGAAGTTAGTAGACATAAGTTTCACCGCCGTCTTCCCAGCTCCGCAAATAACTGCCGTCTTTTCTCCACTGCGTTCTCGGTAGGCTTTCGTCTTGGTCTAGACTCAGCCAGACTTCGCTCCTCGCCCGGTCTGCATCCATCTGAGCAATATCGGGCTCCGGTTCATCGAAAATGCATGGTAAAGAATCGCCCGGGGTGCTCCGTTTCTTCTTGGCCTTCTAGACCAGGAGCAACGGTCAGCTTCACTGCCTTTCCCTTAAAATTTGGCTTGGGCTTTGGCCGATCCAGTCAGTCGCTCGACTTCCTTGGGGTCTCTCTTCTCCTTGTCCACTAACTTCTCGCTGACCACTAACTTTTTGCTCTTCTTCTTCGCTGCCTGCTCCTTTCGGGACTTTTTTGCTGCCTCCTTTGACTTTGATGCCTTCTTTGGAATATCCTTGGCCTTGGTGAGCCTGTGTTGAGCTTTTGTGGACGCAATTTTGGCGTTTTTCTTTGAGGTTGAGGCCGTGGACTCTTCTTGGATGGTCATGGATTGATTTCCATCCTCTTCATCGTCTCTATCGAACCGCTCCTCCGACTCTCCATCCCCATCTCCCTTCTCAGTATCAACCTCCATAGCCATTTCATCCTCAGGCACAAGTTCCTCCTCTTCGCTGAAGTTACCATCCTCTACAGCTGGCACGGTTTTCCTAGGGTCGGAGCCGTGCATTTCCATTGGCAAATCGAGCCTTAAGCTTCTTGCGATCGGCAAAGGACATCTTCTCCCAATGCATCTTGCCCGTTTCCAGCATGTCGGTTAAACCTTGGAGATCTTGGACGGCTGTGATACGAGTAGGATTGACCGGCGCCTCCTGACCCAGCGGGAGGCCAACGAGTTCGACACCAAGGAGGTGTCGAACTCCGTAGTCATAGTGCTTATAGTACATTTTGACGTCCTTGCGTTGTGTGATAAGTCCTGAAGAGTTACAAGGAGTTAGTGGAGGGAGTTAGTGGCGGGGAGTTAGTAGACGACGCACGGAGACCATCGGTAACCAGCTTTACTATCAGCCGACGTAAGGTAACCGCATTCTTAGGTGGCCCAGGATCTATCCTATGGGTTCAGATGGCCATTTCAAGGATTACTTGACTTACTTTCGCCGCCGCAGGCTGCAGAATGACTCAAACTGCCAAAGGAATTCCACATTAGAAATATTGTAAACCGATTGGAGAAAGTCATTCGCTGGGCCTGTATAGAGGCAATGCGATGGAGTAGGCTCTGAAGAGTAACCCTTTGCTATAAAGGCTAGAGTACAGGTACCGGTTCGGACATGGGTGCCCTGAGCCTGAGCAGAAGGATTCAGAGAGGTCAATGCACTGCAGCAGAAGACGCACTATGGTTTCCATTTTTTCGTAGCTCCGCTCAACATCTGATGCACCCGCCCTTGTTGTTTTCCGAACGGATACCTGTTTTCCCTCCCTGCTTGCTTCCAGCTCATGTCTGAGTTCTTCCTTCATATCATCGGTGAGATATTCTCCGAAGCGTTTGAAACCCGCATTCTTCCATCGTTGTGTGATCTCCTGGTGGGCCTCTTCAAGGGTCGAACCTTGAAACGATATCACGAAAGGGTCATGAATAGAATGAAGCGAACGCACCTTCTCCTAGCTCACGCATCACTCGGCTCGTATACGCATTGTAATAATCCGGTGCCCGTGTTGCCTGGGTATATGCGGTACTCGTTATTTGTTTTCGAATCCAGTCTAGGGTGACACGGTTGGAGCCAAACTGGCCATCGAAGATTTCTTGTATCTTCTTGTCGCGGTCCTTGTAGAAGTCGTTAATCTGCTGGACGACACGGGCTCGATTGGCCTTCGAATTCGCTCCACTAAGCTGTTGGGTGTTGACAAGGATGTCGGCTCGTTCTTTGGCTTGACTGCTTTTGGTTGTCATCGTGGAGAGGGAAGGCGTGACTGCGTGTGATTGGGAAAAAAAAATATGTCACAGAAATGCGCGCAAGTACTTCAAGAGTCTACTAACTTCCCCGACGCACTACCACTATTGGGGGCTGACGACAACCATCCTACGCTTGTTCTTCTTGTTCTTAGCTGCCTTATCCTCCTTTCTCTTGCGAGCCTTTCTAATCTCTTCCTGAATCTCCTCCTCCGTCATCCAACCCGAATCCGTGGCGCTAGAGGGCCCTGTTTGGAAAACATTGTTGTAGACCCAGTCGACGCTTTTCCTTGGCTTGGGGGGGCCTTTGTCCGGCTGGCAACCCATAGCTGCGAGCTCCTCCTCTGTCAGACCGGATATGAGAAGGTCCAGTTCATCGTCCTCATCCAGGGACGGGCTGCTTGATTTTGCATCGTTCGTATTGGTATTGGGGGGGGGTTTTTTTTTTTTGGAGTCTCTGGGGGCCCTTCAGTCGTGAGACTGCGGTTTGCCATGGCTTTAGCGAAGGATTCGAGCGAAGGCGTTGGCTTGGGTACATCGGGAGCCTGTGGTGTCGTAGGCGGGGATGGCGTTGGGGACTGAGGCTGCTTCGAGGGCTTGCGGGGAGTAAGGGCTGAGACTAGCCAGCGGATGGAGTGCATGGTGGGTGGTAGGAGAAGAAGAAGGAAGGAAGGTCACAGAGTCAGTGTCACAACGGGGCCGATAATTGGCCGCTAGCTGGGTACTGACGGTACGGTCCTCATGAAGGTCCATAGCCTTGTGAACTATCACGGTAGTAGTCGGGGAAGTCGTGTGAGGGTCCACTAACTTCCGTGCCAGGCATCTACTAACTTCCGGTCCACTAACTTCCTTGGCCGGAAGTTAGTGGACGTGAGATTCTCAAGGGGCCCTTTGCACACTAGTAAGCACACACACAGAGGGGAGGATGTCCATGGTATATGTGAGCCCACCACCTATTTTATGGACCAAAGTAGTGAAACGCGTCTACTAACTTCCTGAGCACGGAAGTTAGTAGACAGGGTCATCTAAAGTATCACCGCTCCAGCCCTCCACCTGGGGAAAACCCTGCCACTGAGCTTTCTAGGGCATATAATATCATGTCGGAGCCCAATGGCCATTTTATGGACCAAAGTAGTGAAGCGTCTACTAACTTCCTGAGCACGGAAGTTAGTAGACAGGGTCATCTAAAGTATCACCGCTCCAGCCCTCCACCGGGGGGAAAACCCTGCCACTGAGCTTTCTAGGGCATATAATATCATGTCGGAGCCCACCACCTATTTTATGGACCAAAGTAGTGAAACGCGTCTACTAACTTCTCGAGCACGGAAGTTAGTAGACAGGGTCATCTAAAGTATCACCGCTCCAGCCCTCCACCGGGGGGAAAACCCTGCCACTGAGCTTTCTAGGGCATATAATATCATGTCGGAGCCCACCACCTATTTTATGGACCAAAGTAGTGAAACGCGTCTACTAACTTCTCGAGCACGGAAGTTAGTAGACAGGGTCATCTAAAGTATCACCGCTCCAGCCTCCCACCAGGGGAGAACTCTCCCGATAGACCTCAAATGGTCTGAGATGCGCCATATATGTGCCCACCAGCTGCGTTGTTGACCAATGCACCGACGGTTAGTGGACATTCTACATCGTAAGGGGGGACCCTTACAAACTGAGGATGTCCACTAACTCCCATCCATGTCACTATCGTCGATGCGTACAGTAGGGCAACGAGATGGGCTTTCAAGCAGATGTCCCATAGCCCCACATCCCGCATCTGTGCCCACCAAACGCGTTCTGAACCAAAGTGAGTGTCTACTAACTTCGCGAGCACGGAAGTTAGTAGACATGCCAAACTTTACTATGCTGAATTTGAACTTGTTCGGGATCAAAGCCCTCCAAGGATACCTTCCATAGCTTCACACCTCACAGTTGTACCCTTTGGACGGTTTATCGACCACAGTGATGGAAGATGTCCACTAACTTCCCTAGCTCAGAAGTTAGTAGACATACTCAACTATATTGTCACAAGTGCTGGACTTCAGCAGGACGAAAGGCACTCCAGTATATCTCCCATGGCCTTGAAAGCCATCCTTGCTCCCCCCTTCCTGTTTTATAACCCCAAGTAATCAAAGATGTCTACTAACTTCACAGGCAAGGAAGTTAGTGGACATCGTGGCTTCTTGCCAACTATGCCTCATATCCCCTACTGACAGTCCCAACACCTTCTATAGAGACTTACTTATATGTTGCTCGAGGACCTACATGTGCATACTGTACATAGTTAGCCCTTACTAACATAACCTGAAGTTAGTGGATAGGATAAGTTATTAGAGAGGACCCTTACAGCTAGGATCACCATTACCTACCTATAACCTCCCCTGACACCGGGACTGACACCCAAATTGCCCTACATACCCATACCATACTAAAATCCTCCAAATATCACTTATAAAAGATGTCTACTAACTTCCGACTCATCCATCACTAGATCAAAAGGCTTGTATCTCCTTAACTACTCAAGCTATTAATAAACGGTCTGTACATCTGGTATCAGCAGAGCATTCTGCACAACTTTCATTTTTGATGCGCCATCAGATCGGGACGGTGGGCGGGACCATGGGCGACCCCAAGATCAGCAGCCATCAGTAACTTTGATGGCAGTGATGGGATGAGGGGGGGGGAGGGCGGGCGGAGGGCGGGACTTGACAGCAGACAGCGATGATGACCTTCGCTGTCATCGTGTCATCCGGTGATCATCCTTTGATGCTCCGGCCAGCCCGCTCCCCCAGCCCGCTCCCCCCCACCCGGCCTCCCCCCTCCCCCCCCAAAGACCTCCCGTCTACTAACATCCTGTCCACTAACATCCAGAAGCGAGTTTAAGGAAACACCGCAGATTTCCATTATCCCCTCTAGTTAGAGCTTCACCCCCCCCCTGAGGCTCTAACTAGAGGGGATAAGTGGGCAGGTTAGGTGCGTGTCGGCCTTCTTCGGCGGCGCAGGAGCCTTTTTGGGCGGCGGCGCGGGCTTCTTCGGCGGCTGGGCCTTTCCCTTGTCGTCCTTCTTGCCGTTGTCCGCGTTGGCACGTCGGATGGCCTGCATGGCCTCTGCGACTCGCGCGATGCGTTCGTGGTCGTGAACGACAGTGCGCGCATCAATGGCGTTCCTATGCGGCACGGTTAGTCGTTCGTTGTAGCCTGATTAAAATATGACACACTCGTAGGAGCCACTGGCAGTGGCAGACGCAGAGAGAGCCAACATGAGGGAGAGGAGTGTGGAGATCATTGAGGTGCGCATGGTTGTCGTTCAGGGAAGAGTAAGGTCGATGGAATAATTGGTATAATGGCACCTGGCCAGGATAGGATATAGAGATGAAAGGAAAAACAGAAGACAGTCGCAGACTGCCTTGGTCGAAAAGAGGGGAGAGGCCGCTGGGGGAAAGAGGAATGACCTGTCCGCAGACCTAATGGCCCATATACACATTATATGCTGCACTTCTGCACACGATAAGACGGCGGAACAAGAGGACGGCAGGACGCACCGGGTTCTGCGGGCGTAGACGCCGATCTCCAAACCAGATCCAATACATTTTGCGTGTTACAGTGTATCTGACGTGGAAACGTCGAAGCAGTGCTCGGGACGCCATCAACATCGGGCGGGTGCAAGCGGCAATTGTCCAGGGGCGGGTATGGCTGAAGCGCTGCCGTCTGAGTCCCTGATAATAAGGGTGTCAGTAGACGCTTGCAGTCGTACGCGTGAAACTTACGGTAATACGGCTCTATGGGAGAAATCTGGCTCACTGGCTAGAGGGAACGGCTGCGAAAATGAGCATAGATCCCTACACGCGGTCCCGCGCCGCCCCGTGCGAATTATGCACGAAACCGAGCCAAGGCGCCGCCCTTTTGACACCAGAAATTCCGCGAGAGGATAGTAAGGACTGGGTGCACACCGACATCTGTCGCTACCCGCGCCCGTTGTCGTAGGCTAGTCTTGGCGAAGTCGCGGGTGTGCGGGTGATCCGAGTTGGTCGCCAGCAGTATTGTCCGCGATGGGAGATGAAAAATTGGATGGTGGTGTAACGCAGGAGCAAAAATGATGGGTGACGTGACGATCGGTCCGACATCCTCCGTGATGACGCGGCATCATGAATGTGATCAATGTGATCTGCCTGTGACACGCCTCTTCTCGACGGTCATCTGCCATTTCACGATCCGTCTCGGATGCACCTGTTGAACCGTGAACGGGTCGGCACAAACTGTCACTCTGGTCGTCTGCTTTCGCCACGCGCCTGCGCACACTTCGCTCGTCTTGGCCGCCGCAACGACTCGCCAACGACGTTTCAAAAATTCTGATCCGTTGCGTCTTTTCTCACTCTCTTTACCTGCTTATGCAATGCTTTCAGGTGGGAAACATCAATGCCGCCAGATCTTTACTATGTCCCTCTCACACATATTGGACAAGGCGGCCGCGTGCCTCACGCAACGGCGGCAACCCTCGCGAATCCTCGAAGGTGCACACGGTAGGTATGGACGTGTCCGTTGTCTAATTTTCATACCAAGATCCTCATCAGCTGTGTGCGTCCGAGTTTTTTCGAGTTGTGCGCGTCTGAATCGATTGGAAGTCGTGTCCCTGCTCTTGGTCCTCCCATCCTCCTGAGACGGCGTGATTGCCGACATTTAGTGCGTGCTCCATCGGATTCAGAATCTGCAGCACGCTCATTCCATAACTGGCACTTGTTCCGCTTGACTGTCGAATGACTTCGCCGGCGGCTTTCGCGTCCACCTCCGCCGGTCCCACTCAGGAGTTCGTTTCAAGTTTATTGACGTTCGTATCCGAGTCTTTCTCTAGAGTCTTTCCTTCCCACACCAAACTCAATTTTCGAAGCCCGCCTTCCCCTCCACTAACTCATCCGTTGTTGCCATGGATCAAAATGACTCGGGTATGGCTTGTCGTCAACCCCGTTGTCAATGCCGCAACTTGAAGGATGTTTGGGGCGAACTTAACCCACCAGCTCCTGGGAAGTTCGAGATTGTCGATGATGGTGCGAATTGACGGGCCGGCGACATGGCTGAGATGATGGACGGCAGTGAGCGCCGGTGACTAATTTCGTTGCCTCACTAATAACCGGTGTGCAGATTCGGAAGCCTTCCCTGCAAGCTGGCCAAACTAGCAATGGCCTTCCCCCGCCCGCCGGATTGGCGGTGGTGGTGAACCGCTTTGCGCCGAGACAAATATAAGCAGGAAGCAGCTCGCCCCTACCAACAAAATGGCCTCAGTGACCAACGATCGTCGACCAGACACTCATACCTTCCTGCCACACATACATGAAATACTCCCAGAACACTTCGCTCCCCGTCCTTCCCTGTCCACGACGTCTCTCTCCATGAAGCAGGTTTCAAGAAATCTGCATCGCTCCCCGCCATCCCTGTGGCCCAATACTCTCAATGTTGACTCGACGCCATTCGACAGCCCCCGCGCCATATTATCCAGGCCACATTCTGTGGCGTTGCCATTTATTTCATCCCCGTCAGGCTCTGAACGGCAATCTTCTCCAGAACCCGGGCTTAGGGGAACCTCGCCAGCTCCGTCGACTCTTGATTGCTCCTCCCGCGGCTCGTCGGCATCTCGTTCACCCTCACTGTCTCCTTCCCAACCCACCATCCGAACCATCGTAATATCCGAGGCGATATCACTGCCAGTGGGGGTTGTCGAAACGGACGACGTTGACGATAGCGAAGATGAGTCTGACTACCACGATTTCCCGCAAACATCGAAAGCCAAGAGAAAGAGGAGCCATCCGAAAATCCACGTCTGCACCGTCTGCCGTCGACGGTTCAACCGACCGAGTAGTCTCCGCATACATGGGAATACCCATTCCGGCGAGATGCGTGAGTCCGAGTCATGCTCCCTTGGTCTTTCTTCCCTTGATATCGCTTCAGCGTTCACTTGTCCTCATCCCGGCTGCGGACGCGCATTCAACGTGAAGTCTAATATGCGACGACACTTCCGAAATCACGCATCTGCGGATCTTTCGGGAACCCTCTTGGTATTCCACAACTCCACAGTGGTGGACAATTCGATCTCCACCACCGTCGGCGTGCTTCCGTATGTGGACGCTGCGCTCGCTGCTGCCAGCACTGGCCATTTACCCACTTGCAGCAGCAGTCGCCACATCCCCCCTGTAAAGCATCCCTTCACCTCAGTGGAACCGCCGTCGTTACGACTTCGTCCCGCTTGGCCGATCCCGGAACACATCGAACGCCCAACAAAAAAATTTCACTCGTGATATGGCGCACCAGTGTTGGCGCACTGTAAGCTGTTGTCGAGACTTCACTAGCTTGGATCATGTTCCTGAGAAAGACATGCTGTTTTTAGGATTTATATTTACGATTTTACCCATATAGTTGCAGGTACCAGTTGCAGGAGTCCGCTCATGGCACCATGTTCCGTCATCGGAAACAGGTCATGATGCGGAGGAAATTGGGAGTTTGAAAACCTAAATCGAACTGAAATTTACCCGTTGTTGATCCCGGCCGCCGGCACCAGCACATGCGGACGTGTAGATCGTAGGTTCCAGGTTGCTCCAAAGTTGATTTTCAGCATCGATCAATGGTCCGCCGATCGGACGATTCGGACCTCAAGAAGCCTGACACCTACCTGCACGTGCCTGCCACGCTTCTTGTCCAGAGCCACGACCCATGTCGATATCGCCGACGAGGCGCGAGCGCGCTCGGCGTACAGGACGCACCCAACTTCCAATGCTATACCTCCGCGACCATGACGTATACGCCTCTCGTTCCTCGCCTCTCGGGATCGATCGACTGGGACCCTGGTGTAAGCCGACGGTAGTTCGTGTCGCATCGACATCACTATAGGGGAATTGGTCTTGCGAAGAGCTTCAAGTACTGCGGGGGGTTGCTGGAGGGGCGTATACCGCTCCTTCTACATGTCGTCGCCAGCACCGCAAGCTTTGGTCGCGTGCGTGCTCACACTCTGCCAGCGTCCGCCCAGTTGACCTCTGGCAGGCCCGCACTCATTGGCACATGGGCTAACTTCATGGTGTATATGCTCGAGCTTGTGCTGGCATGGCGGTATTATACGAGCGGTCTACGTGCGTCTTCGCCTTTCCATCATGATCTCCTCTCCTTATGACGACCCTCCCGCAGTGCGCCCCACCGGGGCAAATACCGGCGTGTCCCGCTTGCTTGTCCCCTTGCAGCTTCTTGTGGACGCACTAGGCACTATATTTAGCTCTACCACGGCATACCTGGTGCGTGGGCGTCTGCTTTTCCTTTGGCAGTGGCGATGGCTCACAACGAGACCCTCAGATGCTAGTAGTTCACTGGGGAGACTACGCATATCTCGCTAGAAACTCTTGGGCACTTTCCGCTTTTGTGCGTCGCCTATGCGCTGTTCTCCCCGCTCAAGTACTAACTGAGACAGTGCATCACAGGCGGGATGAGTGGGTATTTAGAGCAAGTATATCTCATCCGACGGTACGGAGCCCTGTGCGTGATAGTATTAACTCTCGTATTCCACGTCCTCACACTTCGCTCCTCTCATAGGTCCACGAACTACCTCGTCTGTGCCGTCCTAGCCCTCACTGCTACGACCTCGCTCGCAGCGGCAATTGGCGTCGGCATTATCACATTCAAGCATCCTTCGATAAATGATCGGGGAATTGTCGCCCCCGTCACACTGTGCGTCGTCTCCAGCCACATTCTCTCCCTTTGACCGTTCCCAGGCTTTGGTTCATCAGCTCGGCCTTCACCGACGTCGCAATCGCGTCCTCACTAGTCATCCAACTGTGCAGATACAAATCGCCGTTCAAAGAAACCCAGAATGTCGTTCGGCAGCTCATAGTCACAGCCATCCAAACAGGCTCCGTCACAGCCCTCCTCGCGACGCTGGCAATGATCGGCTTCGTGGTGTGGCCGGAAACGGCGATCACGTTTGCCTTTGGCTTCCCTTTAGGCCGTGTGTACGGCTGTACACTGCTGTACAACCTCGTCTTCATACGGGGTTCGCGCAATGGGAGCGATGTCGCGGACTCGGATGAACGCCTCTCAGGCTCCCGGTCGCGGCAGGTCTCGGGCGGACGCGATGTTCGTGAACGAGCGACGGCGCTGAGCAACTTTGGCGGAATACGTGCGTCTCTTTGGCCCTTTTATTTTTGTTTGTTGGGGTCTGACGCAGATGTAGACATCCACCAAATCGTACAGGTGACGAAGGACACTCAAATGGATGACGGTGACGATATCAGCATTGGGAATGATAAACGTCCGACGGGAGTTTAATATCTTCAATCGAATGGTGCACGAGTATTTAAGTATGTGAATATTTTTGACTACTTAATCTCTCGACAATCGGGTTGCACGGGCGGTAACTCCACCGGACACGCGAGGAAAGGACAGATAAAAAGGACCGGAGAGCACGCAAAGCAAAGTGGACAGCTGTATTATGTGCTGGTTCGAATTCATAACTTTAATACTTTCAATATTACTGGTAGACTAAGTAGTGCTGGCTGTGCAAGTAGGGTCCCTGACTCAAGGCCTGACATTAAGCATGCTTGGCAGTAAATAGACCCAGATACTGGTAACACAGAATATTGCTGATGAGGCTCACAGTCTACAGACAGTAGGATGGTATACCTTTTAAATGAACTCTTTCCTAGCCTTGTCAACCCAGGCTGGCTGGAGATCTGGGGCTTCACTAATGAGTGAATTCTCAGTGCCATATTACAAACTGGAGCCTTAGATCAGAGTAGCTAAACTTACAAATCAGCCACCTTACATTAGTGCTGGTCAAATAGAATTATATTATTTTGAGGGCATACTTAAGGTATTCTAATCATATCATACTGTAGTAATTAGACCTTAAGTTCAGACCATCTTACACATTACCCATTTATTTCATTTACAATCAAGTTCATCAATGATGATCAGCGCATCTATTTCCTTATTTGGTATGCCAGCGATAGCCAGCCGCAGATTTTTGATGATATCTGTCAAATTTGGCAGATTTTGATGCATAATTTCCATGTTTACACATTACACATTTACAGAAGTTCAGTTCAGGTAGGTCTCTTACACATTACTCGAACTTATGGTCTACACTCAAAAATATCTTTTCCCTTTTAAACATGTATTGAATGTACATATTTAGATACATGTTTCCTCAACCAAGAAATATTATATTAATTATTTCATAAATAACTCTTCTTTATCAAGCTTCCTGTAAGAACAAAAAGAATGTCTTTCACAGGGATGGAAAAGTTATTGAAAAGCTAACCTTTCCATATGGCTTTGAATACCCCTTTCTGTGTACTATAAAGAATATATTTTCACTCATTTCAAAAATGTGTGGTTTATATTCCTCTTTATTTGTGGTATAAAAGACAATATTTCTGCCATTTTAGAAAGGTGCTGAAATCCTATGTTTGATGATGAACATGAATGTGCTCATCTCGGTGCGACTGCAGTCGTAGACTTGCGTCGTCTGTTGAGATCCCTTTAAGACTTGACAAATTGTTCCCAGATTCACTGAGCCAAAATTTGGAGAATATTCATGGAGCTAATCCTCCTATATATTATACCATTTTTCCTGAATTATCAACTGCGTACTTATGTTCATAGTTCACATGTTTCTTGCGACGACTGCATCTTGGCAGGTGAGTACTCAGTTAGCGCCAAGTTAGCGCCGAGTAGTGACATTGTGACACATCATCTCTTCAATGCCTACACCGACCAAATATCACAGTTCTGAAGAATGCCTTGAAGCCAAACGGGAGTGCGATCATCGTTATAGAGCTAGTGCAAGGTCCGACTCAGAATCTGAGTGAACCAAACTGATGTTATGTGTAATATTTGTAGAGGTCAACTGGTACGGGCAGCAGAATCTGCTCAGCGTCACCGTCACAAAACAGCATGCCCTCTCCGCAATGCAACTCCTCTCCCCCCCCCTGCTGAAGTCTCAGGCCGTCTTCGAAATACCTTACGATGAACCTGGCTTTCTCTACTACCGTAATGACTTCAAGCTTGGAGACAACACCTGTGAAATCTCTACGTGGTTTCGCTTTCCGTACTGGGGAGTATCACCCGTTCCACAATCTGCTGCTGGAGAGACGACCCCACAATCTGCCGCTGGAGAGACGAAACGTATTGTGGTGGCGCTAAATGGCTTACATCGGCGTAAGGAGGACGACGAGGAGGAGGCCTTCCGAGTAACTTTGGCTCCAGTGTGGTGAAAGAAGGATTGAATTAGGTTTCAGGAAGAAATGTATACAGCCGCATACCTCCGGTGAAAGGGGATGTTGTGTTATGTTTCAAGATGGGCAGAAGGTACTCGAGAGTACACTGTACTCATTGTGCACTGTCAGTGGTTAGCTCATGCTGCTCAGAGGCGATACCTGCTCCTCTACATGGCGTCTTAGAGGAAAGAATATTTTTGTGGCTCCGACGGCATCGCCAATAACATGTAACTTTCCGCGCCTACTTCCAACTACATTCCGACGACATCGCCGATAGCACGTACTGAATAACATCGCACCCGACACTAAACTAACGCCTGGTGGTCCTCGCTCGACCAATCCTTTCTCTTCCACCACCTCTCCATCCTTTCTTTTTCACCACCAAGCTCCTCCACTCCAAGGTTAATGCATGGATCGATTATACACGACGAAAACGGGAACACTCTTGCGCATACATACGGCGAGGCAATTGAGACACTTTGGTAAGCAGTCCTGCATCCACTATGAACAATGTTAACAATAACTAGGGCGGCAGAGGTACCACCAGTACAAGAGGCAACAAGCGCGCATTATTCCGAAAAGCCCAACCAAGCGGCCCCTGCAGATGGTTCAGACAACAGGTGAGTTGCCTCTTCTACTCAGCCCGTCTAACCTCCACTTACCTAGCGCGTCTCCAACTGCAAGCCATGAAGACTTTCCAAGCACACGCCAAGCATCGCGAGGCAACGTTGGACCATCGAAGGCTGGATAGAGAGATCACGTTGCACTGCTTGGAGATTCAGGCCCGCACCCGCAAAGGCCAGTACCCTTCCATCATTCTCTTCGCGTCCCTTATACTAACCAACAAACAGAATGACACAGTGCTCTTCTCTCTATTCAAAAAACCCAAGAGGAGATCAGCAAAGTGAGGGCCCAGCTCGCGATGATGCGCCGACGAGTCACCCAAAAGTGGATTGTGTCTGCAGACAAATCCCGAATGTTCATCTTGCGTGCACTAATGGACCATATCGGCGAAGAACGCCACCTTTTCCAACATATTGCCAACGATGCGTCTTTCGCGGAGAATTGGTTTGTACAAAATACTGTCGATGCATCTTTTTTTCTTGATAAATACATGTATTGTGCACATTGTTTATAGTCGTTGTCAATAGAGCTTGTGCTGAAAGCCGTTGTCTGTCAAAGGTTTTTGCCGTGGAGTCTGTCATTTGTTTTCGCCGTGGCCAGGGAGCCTGTAATTCGAACATTCTCTCTCCGACACCTCCGTCAGACAGCCTGTCATTCTCGAAGGTTCTCAAAGATTAATGAGATCAAGTCGCGTGATTCATCTTCTTTCCTCGTCACCTTGTTGATGACCCGATCCTTCCGTCGTAGGCACCAAAAGGCTTCCAACCATCTTCATGAGCAAGTGTTCACCGAAGGGCGAGGCAGAGGCAATCTTTCTCATTGCGCTCAATGTGGGCTCGCAGAGCGGGATGCTCATTTCCGTTGTGAAGAATGTCTTGGGGGCCAGCTAGTCTGCCGAGCTTGCTGCATTGCTATACACACGACTATGCCATTGCATTGGATACAGGTAAAGTGGAATTGTTTCCTGGGATACGCTACAGTGCTAACGAAAAATGAAAGGAATGGAAAGGCAAATACTTCGAACGCACAGACCTGAAGTCTCTCGGGCTCGTTGTTCAACTCGGACACTCTCCAGCTGAAGCTTGTCCTCGGAGTGTCCCCGCTCGAGGCGACTTTGTCGTCATTCACACACCTGTGTAGCCCAATACCCACTGTGTACTATCTAGTCCACCCCAGCGGGGTGTCGCAGATAAGCCATGCTGCTCTCAGCATTGCCATAGAACTGAATAAACCTTGGAAAGGGAACTGAATAAATCTGAGCAGTTCTTAGGTTTTCACCATTTTTTGCACCAAGTCCACATGACTGGCTATTATCACCTCACTCATAGTATGAATAATGTTCAATAGTGATTATATACCCAAGTATAGGAGTCAGTTCTGTGTAATCATGGACTACTCAAAAAGGAAATTGTATACCAGGTCCTAATAGTAAGTGAAATTCAGACACCTGTGCAGCCCAGATCAGCTCCATATATACTGTTAGGTTACAAGGAGGACAAAGTTCCCAAAACGGGGCCCAGATGCTCTTCTCTTCATGTTAGAAGGCTCGACCAGATGGGTCGAGCCTTCTAATATGTGAGGATATCTGGGATTAACAGGTGCTTTAACAATGTAAGGTGACAGACTTGTAAGTTTAGCTACTCTAACAAAACCCCCTGGTGTATACCCTCCTCACTCCCAGTGACTATGGCACTGATAATACAATACATTCACTTATCAGTAGAATTTGATCTCCATCACCTCTGAAAGATGGGCACAGATCTCCAGCTAGCCTTGGTGGATACAGTTGAAATAGAGTTCATTTGAAAGGTATACTATCCTACTATCCTTGAGCCACATCAGTTATATTTTTTGTCACCATTGAGGCCGTGGTCCGGGTATATCCTTCTCCATGCTTGTATTTCATAAGAAAGTGGCATTATTGTCGGTAACAGCATATCTTTGAGGGTGGAAACATGATCCAGATCGCCAAAGTGTTTCGCTCTCTCGAGATAACCATGCTTTGCGGTCCACAACCATGCTGCGCTCCATGTTCTCTATGTTGTGCCTTAACGTGCACCACGTTGAGCCCATCTCCCCCATTTTTAAGATCTTGCTGTCCCAGCAATAAGCCATTGCCTATAAAAGATGTCGTGGTTCGACAACCCATTCCAGTTTCTCTCGCATCTCTATCCAAAGACATTCGCTCCTTTCCAATCTCGACCAGTACGATCTGTTCCTCCACAGAATAGCCATATTTCTGACGCGCTGAATCCCCAGACTTCTCCAGTTGATTACAAAATGGCAGACTCGATGTATGCCCCTCACGAACCTGAAGAAGGAGTTCCAGAAGAACTCGAAGCCGACGTTCACGAGTTCATAACCACCGCCTCTGACTTGCGCATTCGTACCAACGACGAGAATGTTCGCAAAATTCATCTGTTG